AAAAAAAWSTTTAAAAAGTGAATTTTGCATAATAGRTCCCCTTTAAATGCACCTGGTTCCTCTCAGACATGAGGAAGTCGAGTCTGGATCCAGGAAGTCCCAGCTCTATGAACGTCTTTACCAGCCGAAGATCAGCGCTATTACCTACACAACGAGAAGTTATGTTCAGAGTTTCTGCCGCGGAGTTCATTAAGCTGTAAGACACACTCTTGGAAAACACATTATTACAATTTAAAAGAAGTATGCTGAGGATGTGTCAGTACATAAGTTGAAAAAATTAAAGGAGCAGGACATTCAGCCTCACCATCAAGCCCATGGACACACACTACAAGGTGGATGCCATCATCAAACTCCTCATCATCCTCTTCAGGTGGGAAGTAGGGAAACTCTGACGCCAGGAGAGGAACATCACTGTACATGCTGGCCTGAAAGTTCAGCTTTTTAAGTAGCTCTTCTTTGGCTTTGTAGAAACTAGAGAAAAAAAAAAGTTAAATGGAGGAGGGGACCTTTGTATAAAGCCCCCCAAAACAAAAAGACAAACGCTTACATTTTTCTCACTTTTGTGTGAAACAAGGTAACAAATCTACTTTGTTATTTTAGTGGTAGAACAATCATGCTGCCCCTTAAGCTTCTAAACAGAAGTCTGACATTCCTAAGTAAGCTTCTCGAAGTTTAGCCAGGTTGCAGATATCAGCTCTGCAGAGTCAAAACAAATTTGTTGCAGTTCCTGTACTTGGAGCCAATCATGACAGATTTGTCTTAGCACTCTGATAGGATTTAATACACTGAGGGGATGATTAACAAGGTCTTGATTTTTTCACTTTTAATTTGCTCACACTTTCCCCATTTTGTTATGCACAGGCTGGCACTCTGCACACGCAGAGCATGCACTGAGCATGGGGCATCAAGTGCCCAGGGGGGCACCGAAAAATCTAGATCACAAAAATCTTCAAAACAACAAATTTGAAGCATGTTTAGGCAGTCTGTAAGCAATACAAAACATGTTTGCTCAAGGAAAAAGATGAATCAAATCTGTGGTTAGGCCCTTTTGACAGTCTACTGTTATTTGATAATAATTAGATACTTGATGACCGCTCTCTCTCTCTCTCTCTCTCTCTCTCTCTCAGTTCCTCTAATTTCAAATCATGTTTTATTGTTGTTTACATTGGATTTTGTAAATATATCATTTCTATTTTTCAGTTAAAGTGGCATAATTACGCATTTTTCACTTGTGTTTTCACATACAAATGTATGCTGAGAAGCTGGATATTCATGCATATATTTATCAATCAGACCTGTGCCCAAGATTTTTAAAATGAACAACTAAAAATTATTATATCAAGTATATTTGATTTGAATTTATATGTGAAGAAATATGCATTTATAACATAAAATTACAAAACTATACAATTCAATAAAATAATGTTAGTAACCCTTTCTTTTACTGTCCCATAATTACCATGAAAATACCCAGTATTTATATCAGAATCAGAATCAGGTTTATTGGCCAAGTATGTTGACACACACAAGGAMTTTGTTTYGGGCTGTTCGTGTCTCTTGTATTAACACTGTACCAATACTTTACACATAATTTTATATGTTTTCTGTTGTGAGGAAAGTCCATATATGTGTATTTAAATTTATATGGTAAGTAACAAAATTGTACTATGCAATTACTTGGTAATAACAGCAATTAACAATATAATTTCTTGGTAAGAATATATAATAGTACAACTTAATTAAGCACATTTTAGTGAGTAATTCTAATACAGTTACATTTTAAAATTATCTCAATTACCCACTATTTGCCAACAAATTACAAACTACATTTTTAGTCACCTAATTACCACGTTATTATAAAGTAATTACTTGGTGAATTACT